TAGAACCACCGGTTGCGAAGAGTCACGTGCCGTAGCTCGCAAAGGAGAGAGAGCTAAAAAACACTACTGCATTTGCATTGAACAGAACAAAAGACTACACTTGATTTAATCCTGGAGGTGTGGCGCGCGCTCTGTAGATCTCTCATTCGTTAGTTTCACCGGTAGCCTGAATATGTGCGGATTACTCTAGATGGTCTTAAGTGCTATCGTTGAGCGGACGATCAGAGATACCTTTCGATGCCATGATTAAGCGGATGAGTGAATGTAAGAAGATCTCAATTAAAAATAAGCAAAAGGAACGCAACTCATATGGAAGATACTTATTGCAGCTTCGCGTAAATCTTCCCGACGATTTCTTTCAATCCTTTAAACGTCGGTATGGTATCTGTGAGTGGAAGAGTACACTGTTGACCCTCTCGTCTTCACTGATAAAGAACTATCACTCGAGAAAATTGGTAACAATACCATACACCACAGATAGATCTTCGACATCAGCAAGAGCTTCGAGCCCCGTCACATTCTAAACCAGTCCTCGCAGCATATCTTCACGATTTGCTTCGACAAGTAAAATTATCTTGGTGCCACGCTTGAGCACGAACTCGAATCGACCTTTCAGGAGCACGTTTTTCCCAACCACGTCTTCTTCGACTAATATGCGGACGTTCTTGAGCAGACGACTGACTGTCGCAAGGATCGGTGCGATAAAAAACAATCTCCTGGCTTCGTTCCCATCCGAAATTTGTCCATACAGTTGTCGCACGTCAACAATACGAGCGAGGAGTAGCTCGATGTCAGCATCAGGAATATCGCTGGGTTGAAGGTCGTAAGAATCGTCGAATTGTAAATAGGTTTGATATCTTCCCAACAAAGACTCGGATAGCCCACAGTCTTGTCGACATTATGATTTTTTGCTTGTTTTCTTGGCGTCTTCACTCGTGGTCTTCAGGTTCGCCTCTTGATTCTTCTGACGAATCATTGCATTGATCGCAGCCCATCGTTTAAGACGTTCGGGGTGCCGGTGTATTTAGTTGGCGGCAAAGAGGGTGCCACGCCGAGAGCCATGGCTGCCGAGCGGTCGTTTTCATCCTTCGGAACCACCACCAGCACGCGAACCACGTCCTCTCCAAGCGAAACGTCTGGCCCCAACAGGTCCGGCTTGTACAACTTCCACGACGCGCAGCTTTTTCATCTTCGATGTGTCAACTTGATGCTACAGCATCTTGTCCAGGTCACCGTCGTCCGTCAGCCACGCGCCGTCCGCCGTCTTCGCCAGGAAAAGCTGCAGGTGACGCGCAGTACCGTTGATGTCTTCATTCTTAGCCTTAATCGCATCTTCAACGCTGACACTGATGTCCCCTCGTCGATATCCACCTCGAACGCGCTCCCCGCCGCACCAACGATCGCACAGAAGAGCCCAACTATCTTTCCTCGAACCGGCAGATTCTCGAAAGAGAGAATAGGGAAAGGAGAGATTTTTTAGACCGCACCTAAGCGGGAAACGAAGGCGTGATGAATCGGTGTCACAAAAAAGCCGTCTTCCATTAGCGAGAGATGGCAATAGCCTAGCATTAGTCCGGGCTACAGTAGCATTAACCTAGCATTTAAAATACATGGGCTATGCTAGGATAGCATTAGCATTCGAAAAGACCAGGCTAGGCTAGGCTAGGCTATGCTATGGCTAGGCTACATGCTAAGATAGCATGCTATTTACTTGACCCCTGCGACACAATACAAATTATTGTCAAATATATTTCGGATAATATTCCCCCAAATTGCGACCAACGTAAACAAGTTGTAAAACTGTGAACACGAGAAGACACCATACCACCAAGTAAGTTGTTCATGGTATAGCAAGGCGTGCAGACTTCATAGTGGCTAAGCCGGCGGCCTTGTCAAAGATAAACTGATCAACATTGTCGAGACTCACAATAGAGAATGCATAATAGACTAGACAGAAATATGCGTCGCTTCTGCAATCCAACCGAGCTCCGAGGATCCGCCCGCGGTTCGCCGAATGGTAGATTAACTTCTCGACCAAAGCACTCGCGTAAGCGTCCGTTGAGCCATAGATACATGTAGGCAGAGAGTCGGAATGTGTGACAAAATGTTTATTCAACCTCAACCACCAGCTCAATATCTGTTCGTGTAGAGTTGTCGGCCTC